CGCTTTGATAAAGAATGGAAGCATAAGATGACAATGATTGGTCACATGTGCCGCGTGTCATGGTGCTGGCGTATTGGAACATGAGTTTGGCTATTTTCGACCAGTTCACACGTTTTTTTTTCGATATCGCGACACCCAGCGTGCCAAGCGACTCGAGAGTGCTATGCTTCGATTGACAATCTAACGGACAACCACGTGGTGCAAGATGTGATGTTGCACGTGCGCACTAGCCCTGAAGGTTCACTCTGCTGATGTCGTCGGTGTTTTACGTTTTATGTCCCACTTTCGTTCTCAGAGCATATAGCCACACGGCACTGGCATGCCGCGATATGGAATTAAATGGTCTGTCGTGTGCTTCACGTGTGCGTACCCACTGATTACGTGTGACACCCATAAGCTCCGGATAAACTGAATTGTGTGTTTTCACGGGTTTAGAAGTGTTGTGACACAAATGATGTTTGGGATCACGCACAGGCTAGATGGTCAGGAGTTTTGGCATGAAATTTTCAAACGATCAAGGGCTGCTGGCGCAGGGCAGCGTTTGGTCAAAATTCTGCATTTCGCAAAAATGAGAGCGTGGTGAGCGAAAAAGTGTGAAAATCCGTCATGGGTTTAATACGGGCGACACCAAATTTGCGACCACTGGCCAACGGCCCGACACGCTTCCACCACCGAAGTCATATCTCGATAACCAAGGGTCGCAGCGATATGAAACTTACACACCCAGATAGACAATTGCACGGGCCGTCGGACTAGTGTAATTTTGTGGCGCCACGTGGTACGTGGCACGTGCACACCTGTTGAAAAGATGGGATTATCTGCTTTTAGCGGGTTTTTACGTTTTGGTTTATATCTTGGCACCCATTGAAAGCAGAGGCGTGAATATTGTTTCCCCACATTTACAATTGAAGCGGCTGTAATTTTAGCGTGCATTGTCAGTTTGTGCGACGCATGGTTGTTCTGCACAATGCAAGGTTCAAGTTTTAAAGGCGGCGCCGAATACAATCCGCTACCGCCAAAACTATTCGAAATGGACTGCTGAAATATGCATCAGCTTGTTGCATGATTCATTGCCACTCCTTGCCACCGCTTTGTTGATCACGTTTTGCAATGATTCACTCGCAAATCAATCTACACTAGTGGGCTGAAAAGATGGGCTCAGACAAAGGTGTAGGGCCCTCTAATGAAATTGAAAGTACCCAAGACCCAATTTGGACGGTCCCGAACGACCGAGTGTGCCCAAGCAGGTTAACAGACGGACCTGACGGGAGCGTAGGGCCCTAAGCAAGTGACAAAGAATTGGAAGGGCCCCAGACCAATGGGGAGGGCTCATGAGCATATCGCGAGTGTGTCGGTAGGTTAACCGATACCAAAGTAAAGGGCCTCTGAGCAACCGAGAATACAGCGGCAGGTTAGCATGTGGGGCCCTGACTATCGAGTACAGGGCCTTTCGGGCGAATGGGAAGAATCCGTGAAAGGCCCTAATTGACAAGGGCGCCCCGGCACGAGACAGGAAGAGCCCCAGAAACAGCCCAGGGCCCTCCCGGCAAATGCAGAGAAAGTAAGTGCAGCGTGGAAGGCTCCTTGGCGATCGGGTTGACCCTGCCAGTGGGCATATAGGCCCCCTGGAAACAGCATAGGGCCTCTGGACAGCGTAACGAGCCCTATAAGATCCCAATCACGACACTCTCAATCAGTCAATAATACGTTTTGTGTACACGTGGGGTCTTCATTTGTAGACAGATGTCATTTAATTTTGATAGTACATCTCAACGGCCGGTTATTTGTCTCTTCTTGGTTTATCGTCAAAAGGCATGCATGCAATATCATATGCCGTTGCATTTCGTTGTCAACGTCAGAGTTGAAAAAAAAATCGTTGTTCACCAAGATCTGCTTGATTCGTGCCAACCCTGAATGTTAGTCCAACCAACCAGAACAATACTTAAATGCTCGTCTAAGGAATAATCTCACGACACTAATTTTGAAGCGTCGAGGACATTCGCACACAAATCGCTATAGTTTTCAACGATGTGTAAGATACATATTGGTCGCGCTCATCTCAAGACGCGAGCACGTACGCTGCCAGAAGTGCACTGAAAGTTATGGGAAGCTGCTCTCCGTCAGCCGAGTGACTCAGAATTGCCATCTATCGCTTGCAAATGGAATAAATTCCACTGATGCTACTTGAACATGATACAACTCACCTCACTCGCCCCTAAGACATTTTTGGCATGGATCATGAGGAATGGGAGAGCAGGAGAGAACGTCAACTTCAGAATAATAGGTAGCCTGTATCGGACAAAGTTTGCAGCCGCCGGAATTATACCTCAATTGGTGCACTACGTTGGCGCACTTTTGTTTGCCATGTTTGTTTGGGCATTTTGTCATGAAAATTATGCCGCGACAGCACGTGCCAATGGCTATTTTCTGATCATCCTTGTCGTTTACGAGTCGAGAGATGACTACCGATAGATCACCACTCAATGTATACCTTGGCGAACATTTAAGAGATCATAGTTTAAATTCTCGACTTGATCTGTCCATCCGCGGTGGAACTACGCTGGTTTAAAGAAGAGATGACATGTCGTAAGACCCGTGCCAACCAGGCACAGTCGCAGCGTGGTCACGGCCGGTTTCCACAGCAGGGGTCAGGCAGTGCTTTTGTAGCCAAGGAACAGGTGGACGTGCAAGGAAGCACAGTGCTGCTCTGGCGCTGCAAACACATGTGGGCACACGACGATGCTACGAAAGAAATCCCCCAGTCTTCACTACCATCCCTGCTCTTTGCAACCCAACCATGGCCCCGCAGGTCCAGCGACCCTGCGAATCGCTGCGATCGTCCAGGGCTTGCAGCGAGGCGGAGCGGCGCACCCAGGTGCCGTGACGCCGCCAGCAGCGGGTCGCGACGTGCCCGCTTTGGCGCTGCCCCGCCCGGCCCCGCGCGGCGCCGGCCGCCGGACGGCGCGGCCGGCGCGGCTGCGCTGACCCGTTGACCGCCGCGCCGGCGGCCGGCAGCCGCCCGGCTAGCGGTGCCCGCCGCCGGCCGCAGAGGATGTTCACCTGGCCGCTGGCCGTGCCGAAAAACGGCGCTCGGTCCGAGCAGCGCCGCCGCCGCCGCCGCCGCCGCGGCGCTGGCCGGGTCAGGTCCGTGTACAGACAGACGCGAAGCGCGCGCCAGTCGCCCCGCTCCGCTCGCGCCACGCCGGCGAGTGACCACCCGCGGGAGGACAGAGGTGAGTGCACGTGGCGTATGCGAGCCATGTCGGTTCGGCCGGACCGGCAGCCTGTTAGCGAGTGAGATGTACATCTGACGCGATGGTGAAGATAACCGGGCTTGGTGGAATGCCGGAAATGTCACGATTTGGTGGTCTCATATAGTGTTGCAACGCGTTGAACAGTGCATGGGCGTTACCCTCCTCTAGGTAGTGAACTCACTGGTATCGGACGATGTTGCTAGTAAGCAATCTCAGCATTACCACATTGTATCGATCTCATGCGTGCATAAGGTGCGCTGTCAATGGTCGAGTACATGCTTCCTGCTGCCTAAACGATGTAAGGATAGGGGTAGGTGTTGTATGTGCTCCAGCTCATGAGATGATAGTGATCAGGTAACGGAAGTATGTCATCAGGCACGAAGCTTAACATGGACCACGAGGTATGGGAGGGCGGGAGAAAACGGCACACTTCCGAAAAACGTACCATGTTATCCAATATTCACTTGCCTTCACTCCCAATGTCTTTCTTGACTTCCTCCCTAGAAAGGCATCGGTAATGTGCCTTAACATGGCACCGTTCGTGTAGTCGTGTAAGTAGTCTGGAATACCAAGGGTATGGGGTTCGATTCCTCGCGGTGCACGCCCTTCCTGTCAGGATGATAGGCAGGCGACACCACATAGCCCTAGCAGCTGAGTTGTAAAACCCCAAACACAAACGAGTTGAATCTTAGCCTTTAACGAAGTTCCGACGCATGCGCGCCAGCCTTGGGCGTGACAAGTGCACGGCGTCTTGACAAAGCGGCATTTGATGTGCCAGAGCATGGTCACGTAAGTATACTAGAACATTTTACACACCATTTTGATCTTTGTCAGTCCCGCCCCCCCCCCCCTTCGTCTCGCACTGTCTACTGCGTAGCGATTATGGTTGGTTTCCCACGCCCCCTCATCCTCTTTATAATTTTCTCCTGGTGTGCTTCTGCTCAGGCCACTTGGCAGTGTACCTTGCAGTTGGCCTTCCAGAGGTTTCACGTTGTCAAATAACGTTTGCAATTCGTAGACGCCGCCACTTGCATCTAAGCATGGACGTAGGAACAGGGGGAGCCGGGGGGGCCATGGCCCCCCTGCTTCTTAAGCTGAAGGGGGTCAGCAGTGTTACTCGCCCCCCCCCCCCACTTTTTATATTAAGGTTGTGTGTGGCCTACTTTTGCACCACATCTAAATATGCATGCCGATTACCTGGTTTACCAGCCATCTTTCTCAAGATGCGTCATCTTTTTCGTTTGCTTATTGGCCATCGCTTAGTGTCACAGCCGCGGGCCGACGCTACGCAGCCTAGGGAGACTGCAACGCCGGGCGTTCAGGCTGCTGTTGCTATGACTTGCGAGCGCGTATGTTGAAAACAACGCTACATAGTTTTTATCAGTAATCAATTCTGACTGGATCTTGAACATTTTAAGACGAACATGGATCAGCCATGTTAATACAAGCTTAGGACCCTACTTCATCTGCAATCTACGTTCAGGGACTCCTCGATATCTGTGACGAAAACAGAAAAAACACAGAACTGGAGCCTGTGTGACAATGATTGGACCAACTTTGGCGATCAGGGATGTTGTTGCGTCAATAATGGTTCCTGTGCTGATCCGGGGCCAACTGCGCGCATCATAAGGCCTCCCGTGTCAGGGAGAGGGACAATGTGATGTGGTATATCCTTCCAATGGTCTCCGGATCGACCAGGAGATCCCGCCCCATGACGCTAGAATGACAGCCAGAAGACGCTTCGCGATGGGACGGCGTGACCCTTCAGCTCTTGACCGGTACCGGTTATGTGCCCTTGGTGCTCTACTCAAGGGGCACCTTGCCCGAAAGGGAATAAGGGGCCTCATTATTGCTAAGCAGAGTGGAGGTCTCATTCGTATTGAAGAGAGTAGGTCGAAATGAAATTAAAAAAACCGAACAAGGCCATCCCATGCTTGCCTAAGAACGTTCATATTTTCAGAACGGATTCGTGAAAAATATTATCAAAAGGTTTGAACATTCCCGCCCGCAACCTCGGGAGCAAGGGCAGCGATGGTCTGTGTTGCAGCTTCCGTAAAACTGAACGGCGTCGGCCACTGCAAGTGCCACCAGACGGTGGGCGCCATGCTTATCCGTCTTCTGGACGGATTAATAGGTCCCGAAACACGAAAAATGGAGAATCTACCTTTACTCTTCCAGTTCCATTACCATATTCCTGCACCACTTCGCGGTGCTTTAAGAGTCAATACGTTCATATCATTGGTCTGAAAAGCGCACACGTAAAATGTGCGCCCAGACTGCTTTGTAGATGTAAGATTTGATGTCCTAAAGCTTTCAAAGGTGCTTCTTTCAGACGCGTCATCATTTTCGTCCACCCGTTGGCCACAGCCCAGTATTAGCTGTTGAGCCGACGCGTCGCGGCCTACGGATACTGCAACGCCTGGCGTCGAGGTTTTTAACCTAAGATTTCAAATACGCATGCTCGAACTTACGTCACGTAACTTGTATTACTGATTCAAGTGTCTAAAGATAATTATTTCAGAATCGCTATTATTTTCGTCCACCTGTGGACCATGACGAAAAGTTAACCACTGACTAAACGCTAACGCTCCACGAACTATGGAGACTGCAACGCCTGGTGTCGAGGTTTTTGTTGCCAAGATTTGCGATCGCGCATGTTAAAAACCACGTTAAATAAATTGTATCACTAATCGACTCTGACTGAATGTTAAACATAATGACAAACATGGCTTGGCGATGTTAATACACATTGTTGACCACGCGACCATGCGCTCGTTAAGCGCCTAATTTCTGCAGTTTATTGACCTGAACACGCGCCCCGGTGGGGGGGGGGGCTGAATTGACTCGCGCCCAAAGGTGTTTCCAAAATGATTTCAGAACTGTTGGGTGCAGCCGCGCCATGTTTTGCATAGCTATAGATTATTGAATGGCAGATCGCTTGACATTAAAAATTTAGATGTGTTTTATAAGGTCGCCGACCTATGGCAGGTCAAAGTCAGGTCATGGTTTTGGCGAAGTCAACTTCAAGGGGATCGTTCAATCTGAGACCACAATGGAGTGTTAAACGAAGTTGTACATCTCTGGGATGCTTCATTAAGCAACACAAATATTGAATGAGAAAATTACGTTGACCTAAGGTCGGGCGTAAAAGTCAGACCAAGGTCAAAACCAACCTGTTTTATTACCCTAGGGCTTGCTGTATGGGATAGCTATAGTTTCTGTATAGTTTCTGGTGCTCATTTCGAATTTATTGATAGCAGGAGCCGTATTATACATCTTCCATGAACTTTTAGAGGTCATAATAAGTCATTGACATAAATGACCCATGTCAACATTTTGTTTTTAGAAACATACTGCCTAGCGTAATCTTTCTCGCTTATTCAAATGCAAAGCTCAGAGCAGTCTTGTATTATTTTGGTCACCATGACCTTCAAAAGGTCAAACAAGGTCACCGACCTTAGCTGAACATGTGATCTTTTGCTTAGAAACAGCTATGTAGGCTCTGGGGGCCCTTAGAGACAAACCTGGAATTTGACCCTGTTTGATCCGAAAGCCATGACTTAGGAACCCCAAACTTTGACCCAAGTGAGTTCACGTACAGGTCAACACACCCTGTGAACTTGGTGTCTCCAGCTCTCTTAGTTTTCGAGATCTCAGGGGGGGGCAAAGTGACCCCTTAGCCGAGCAAAGGGTATCTAGCTGGCCAACCTGGCGCATGTTAAAAATGTAAACGGAATTGATTGCACGGTAGCTTCTGGTTTCTGTTCTAGTTACAACGTAAAAATAAGAATGAAACGAAGAAATCCGTGTCCTTTGTGAACAAGTAAACAGTGTCCGGGGATAGTTTTTGTGGGTGGGGGGGGGGGGGATCACCATAAAGGAGGCTTTTGTCAACCCTGTGTTCCTCTTACCAAGGCTCTGGCTATCCCCTGCCTACACACAAAAGCAGATCAAGTCATCTACGTTTAACGACGGGTGAGCGAGGCAGAAATTGAAACCTTGTTTAGAATGAAAAATGAATGTGATGTTTCTGGAAAAAAATCACCTTGACCGCATTCCAAGATGACAAACCGTATCTTTGGGTGATAATTTCGCCTTGGGATGCCTGCGCTCGGGAAGTGTCGTCCGCATAATGACTGTCCATGTAGACTGCACGTTCGATGCAGCTGATCTCCGGTGCGGCTGTTGCCGCCGGGTCAGCCAACTTCTCTGCCGGTTGGCCAGTCTGGTGGGGATGGCCGTGGCCGACCCGGGTCACGCACCCTCGCCGGCCGCAAACATGTGTGCAGGCATATATGCAAGTTTAATTGTAGGAATCAGTTCATCGTGCTCCAACTTGGAGAACGTTATGTTGCAATCACGAATGTGTTGTACTGCACTGCATTTTCACGAATCAAAGGCATCCAAGTTCATATACGCCCTTCACACATCCTCTTCAAAACAAATAAAAGAAAGTATGTTAATCGTAGAAAAGGGAGCTCAGCAGAAGAAGAAAAAAATGTACAGACTCACAATATCAGCCTTATCCAAACGGTCGCATTACACACTGTCTACCTAATAACTTTACCCAAATGATTAAGGTATACAAAGAAAGGGCATTGACGAGAGCGTGCAAAAATAACAGCCGCACCTGGATAATTAAGGAGACTGCACTGCGTTGTACGCTGCCTTTTAAAACACGTTTTCAGCTTTCTCTTCAACAACGTCTAGCACGCACAGGCTACAGGCACGTGATGTTCTAGTCACCTGCTAATCTGGTATTAAACTCTAAGCATGGAAGACTATGCCTTACTGGATAAGCACCGAATGTCCAGTATATGAGAAAAACCCAAGCGGTCTTTTGAAATCCTGGTAGCATCATACAAGTTTGTAGCAATGTAATCTTACCGATATCAAGAGCTTCACTTGGAAAAATGGGAATTAGGACGACCTCAAAACAATTTGTGCGAATAAGATGTTTCATGCCGCAAGAAGGTTAT